CCTTAATGTCCAGTCCAAATGTCACTGCATGTCGCTGTCTTTCTATTTTTCATGGTAGTAAATGCAATTTATTACAGAATCTGTTGTACTGTGTGGCAATTTTATATATATATATTTCTCTTTTATGCAGTTTTTACTCTATTTCATTTTATTTATTTATTTCATGATATTTCATCCTTCTAGAATGAGTAGTAATGTAACAAGATTATATTGTTATTTCTCTATTGTCAGTGTCCTAGGATACCCCTTCTCATTTAGTATGTATTAATTGAGTGATAAATGACTAACTTACACGTTTGATGATGGATCAAATGAATTAAATACAACAATCAATTCTCACTGTTAGTGGAGAAATGGTTGATGGGGAAAGCACACTAACAGCACCATAGCTCTGTTTCGGCTTGAGATAGAAAGGCTCAACACACTGTCTTCTGCTTCTCTGTAAAGAATTGTTTCAAAAATTTTAACAAGAAAGATACATACCAAAGATTTGTCCTCTTTATCTCTCCAACTCCAATACCATGGAGGGTCTTTATTTTGTAAAGTTAAAGTGTTTTATCTTAATTATGTTGTTATCATCAGGAAATAGCATATATTCTGGACTGTGACCTTTGCTATGTGTTTTGAAGCATTTGATTTTATAGCTGTCTATGAGTAGCGTTCTATTCATTTTACAAATAATTATTGCGTGGGGTCCGAGCCCAAGTGACACATGTAACATCACTCCATCAGGGCTCCTCTCCCACTGGTCAGTGTGAATATGCGTCCCCTGTGTTTTATTTTTGTCATTTGTTTCTATTTATCCCTTCACTGATGATCTACTCTCCTTAAGATTGGCACAGGCTTTCTCTCCGTGTGATAACATCTTCAGTCGGTCTGTTCTCACATTTTTTCTGACCAAGAGTCTCCTTAAATCAGCTAATTTTGAAAATCTCTACTGTGAACCATTGTGACAACGTGAGTGAGTTGGTATTTATTGTAGTTGCGAACCAGACATTGTGCTAAGTGTTTTTCCTTTTATGAAGTTCAGTTTTCGCAATAACCTCTGAGTTGAATCCCCGTTTTACAAATAGGAAACCCAGTCTCGAAGAATTTACATAACCTCCTCAGAAATGCAGAATATTACAGAGAGGAGTCAGGAAAATAACCCAGCTCCATTTGCCCTGTTAGCCTAAGATCTTAATGTTTATATAATTATGAGTTGAGCTTATTGCTTAATTTTCAGAGGGAAAGTTTTAGTCTATTTTCATTTTAACTTATTTTTGTACTGAGGATTAAACCCAAGGGCACTTAACCACTGAGCTACATCCCCAGGCCTTTTGATGTTTTATTTTGAGACAGGGTCTTACTAAGCTACTTAGGTCCTTAGTAAGTTGCTGAGGCTAGCTTTAAATTTGCCCTCCTCCTACCTCAGCCTCTTGTCTGTCCATATTCTTGAGGACATATGTTCCTCTCTGAATGTCTTTTATTAGACCTCCTTTGCAAAGGAGGACAGTGATGCTTGGGGAGGAGGTGAACGGCCCCTCCTCACTCAGCCAAGAAGGGGTACAGCAGATCTTAGAGCAGACTTTCCTGTCCTCGACATCGGTAACTTTTGACTCCATCAAGCCAGTGAAAAGCTTGCCTGCCCACTCACATTAATCAGAAAAAGGGAAGTGTTCCTGCGTTTCACTTAGAAAGGGGTCATTTTCCAGTGGATGAGTTGTATGGTGTCTACCATAGCCTTAACTCTTAGCAATTGGTACTTTGACATGGTGTGGCGTGGATTCTTACCCAACTCAGACACTGACACTTAAGACCTTAAAATCCTTCAGAGAAAAATAGGAGAGGTTACTTATCAAAGCAACCCCTGTATACATTAGTGGTGTTCCAATGCAGAAATTTCACATTCCTCCCCACAGGTGACAGATTTCTGTAGGCTGTTCTTTGTACAAGATATTCATGGAATTCTATTGTGTTCCTATAAGGCCAAATTATCTATAAGTAACAATTCTTCAATATTTAAGGCCTGTAGATAATTTCTTTGTTTGAAGACATATAAACAGTCTTGTCTTCTTGCACTGTTTTCCGATGCTCTCAAGTGACAAAATGTTTGGGAAAATTGTTGTGCTTCTTTGCACCCAAGTGTGGCACAGCAGAAGAACACATTACATAGAGAGTTCAATGTATTAATATTCATTATATTAACAACAATGGCATATGTATCTATAAACCTAGTGCCATCACAGCAACAGCCACAAGTTACAAGCCATTAAGTTCCAATTACATATTAGAGATAATTATCTATCTTTACAGCAGTCCCATAAGCAGTTGTCTTAGTCAGCTCAAGCTGCTAGACAAATACCATGAACTTCCTGTCTTAAAAGCAATAGAAATTTATTTTTCATAGTCCTGCAGGCTAGAAGGCAGAGATCAAGGTGCCATCATGTTTAGGTCCTTATTAGGGTCCTCTTCCAGATTGTAGACTTCCAACATCTCACTGTGTCATCACATGGCAGAAGGAAATCAGGAAAGCTTTCTGGGTACCCTTTTATAGGGGCACTAACCTCATTCATGAGAGTTTCACCCACATGAACTTATGACCCCTCAGAGGTCCCAATCTCCTACTATCATACTTTGATAATTAGGATTTCATCATATCAATTTTAGTGGAACACAAACATTCAGTCCATTATGGTAGCTATTTTAATTGTATTTGAAAAGTGAGAAAGAAATAAAAATGACTGACCCATACCTTCATTAAGTAGGTTGCTCAAAATCATAGTTCCTGTATCAGGCATGGGGAAGTGAAGCCTGGGCGAATTCATACAGGAATGGCTCGCAGAGGTAAGGAAAGCACAGGGAAGTGGGAGTGAGGCAATCCACAGGTTGGCAGCATTAGGAAGATGGCTTAGGTGGAAGGGATGAAAGAAGATGGAAGGGCAGCATCACACTCTGGTCACAGAGTGGGAGTTGGAACTCCGGAACGGCTACCTGCTAGAAGCTGGAGCCAGGCCGGTGCAGCTGGTGTTTGAGATGTAGTATGAGGCAGAGTGTGGTGAGGACTTACTTTAGCTCTGAGGACAAATGGACCTAACAGAGCACAGGCTAATAGAGGATGGAGATTAGTCTTCAGACCTGTGCTCTTTCCAGATTATCATGCTAGTTTTATGTGTTACAAAAGTAGTTATAATTTGATTTTGTGCAAAAGGCTTAGTTCTCTGGGTCCTTAGCTTCTTGCTTCAAAGAACGTTTGTTAAGCTAATTGGTGACAGAGATGGCCTAGAACTCAGATCTCCTTGAGCCTGTCAACGTAGAGTCTCCTTGCTATGTACACCTACCACCATAACATTAAGAGGACTACGGTTTAGTATTTTAATCAAAACCATTTTCTTCCCACTGTGTCACTTTCCTGCTTGAATATTGAGTGTATACAGACAGTAGATTTATAGCAACTGTTAAAAAAAAATCTCAACTATAGGCCGAGGGATGAATATAATGGTTTGTTCATCTTAAAAGACTTGTAGATCCCTTCTATCACAGGTATACATTCTAAGAAAAATCCTGTACCATTGGGATTACATTCATAGGAGACTGAGCTATGGGAGCAGCACATGACATCCCAGCTCATAAAAGTACGAAGACCACAAACACTTTAGTAGCTGGGCAGTCCATCAAAACATAGTGCTATATTCCAGGACAACCCAGATCTGGGTGATCTACTACAAACTGGTTCTAAGAATTCTGCTGGACTCTAGCTAAGTAGCAGTGCTGAAGTACCCTGTGTGCAGGGGTAGAATCCAGGGCTGCTTGGCTTTTTAAGGAAGAACAAACGAGAAATGTTGCTGCTAGCTACAGCTCATGTGAAGCCTTTGAACACTAAATTTGGATGTTAGGGAACCTGAGCATTTGCAGAGACCCATCCTGATCCAAGTCTTTATTACCTATACCAAGGATTTTTTTTTTCCCTTTTACTCAGGGGAAACAACGAGCAACAGCTTCTTGAGAGGAAGCCTGCTAAAAATGTAATCAGGACAAGAAGAGCTAAATAGACAACAGACGACCGACATTCATACAGGAGGGACTAGCAGTTGCTTGGCTGTCTGTTCCAAGCTGTATACACAAACCCTTTCCCTTGGCAAGTATACAAGAAAAATTTCACTGTCCCAAGCAGCAATCCAAACTAAACCCCCAAATATTTTTCTCCTCTTGATGGGTGTTAATGGGAAAAGTGGGATATGAAATTGGAAGCACACAGAAGGAGAGGAAAAACCATACAATTTAATCACCTCTGGTAAGTTATGAATGCATCGGTAAGGAAGAAAGGGCATTGATGCGATATGATAATGACAGAGGAGATGAGAATGAAGGATGTGCAGGATCTATTTAAAAGTTCAGCAGCAATACACATTGTTTTGATGTTTATCTAATAATGAATGTGTGAAACTCATATAATTCACTTCTGATAATTTTGCCACATAGCCCAATGTCTCACCATGTGATTTTTCCTTCTCTTTTGATGCACAGTTAGGAAGATTGGCCTGAGGCTCTTTGGAGACTTTAATTCTGCAATTGGTAGAGAAGTGGGAAGTGGTTTCTTACTGGATAGTTACTGGAGTATCTCTGCAAAGACACGGCAAGGGTTCCCTTCTTACTATGGAGTTTAGTTTTCTTCATGGGGCCTCAAATAGGCCATGTACATTTTCTGCTTCCATTAAAAGAGAAATTAGACTGAAAGATGACTAGCTCTTGAGTATGACATTAATATCAATGTACTTTATAGACCATTTCCTCTCTATAACTCTTTCCAGTGTTTATTTGATGCCAGTTACATAAATTATGGATAGTCTATTTGCAACTCTTAAACCTAAGGGAGTTGAAGAATCTATTTGAAACGTATATTTAAGGCAGAAAAAATGTTATTGATTCATTGAGGGAGGAATTTTATTATTGCCATGTTAAAATAATTTAATTCTATTCAATATTTTTGCATTTAAATATTTATTAGAAACATTGCTTACCTATGAGTGCATGGAGTTCAAAATTCATGTTGTTTTAGATCTTGAATTTTCTAAAATATTCAACAACAATTCTGTTTCTATGATGTGAGAGACCGGAGAGAATTTAGGAGTCCAGTTCAGTCCCCTCATTTTCTGATAAGGGGAAGGGAGTGTCTTTCTCCAATGTTATTCAGCAATTAGGAATCCAGGGGATATCCAGATGTTCATGAGTTTTGCAATGTTGTTCTGATGATGATGCTTAAAATCTTCACAAAGATTAATATGAATGCATATTAACTAGTCATTCCACTCGGAAAAATGGACAGGTCCTGAGAGTCTGGGTTTAGAAGTGACCCTAGAGAAAAACAGCAGAAATAATAATTAGTCTATCAGAATGCACAGGTACAACCAAGACACTGAAGGTTTGGTCTCCCATTTCTACCCTGGACTGACACTCTACCTGTTTGCCTTCATCTTCTTTCAGTCATGTCTCTAAACCTGTCCCTTTGACCTGCAGTATTTCAGACTTTGACTTCCCAGAGCCCAATTTGTAAAATCTCAAGCAGAGATTCCCTTCAGTTGATAATGCAATGAGGGTCAAAAGTTCAAACAAAATGATTTGACTCATCCCTGGGGTTCCCAGATGATTACTATCCAATAGACAGCTGTCTTCTTCCTAGGCTAACCACACCTTCCCATTTATAGATAGAAGCACTCTGCAGTATTCTCAGCTCCTCTCTGACACTTGCCTTAGGGGAAGCACTTCTGTTTGGAGACAATGGACAGAACTGACATTTGGAAGTCTCGAGTGTTCAGAATAATGTTCCATACTTGGTCCTTCCTAATCTTAAGGAGGCATCCAGTTAGAAGACTGCATAGCTCATTCATTATCCTGCCCTGTTGAGACTCAGTAATCTCAGATTGATCACTGGCCAAAAAATAAAGCTTCTCTCTTTCCTTCTGATAAATTAGCCACTGTGTTTATACCTCCAAGTAGGGATGATGCAGCTATCCATCAGCTAAAAGCCACATGTGAAGTTCACCCAAAAGCAAAACAGACAGTTAGCTAAGCAATTGCTTCATTTTTAAAAGTTCTACATTAAATTCAAATGTTATTTGAGGTTCACTGCCATTCAGATTAAATTGACATTTAGAAAGAAAATATGCATTCTTTCCTAACCTTTAGAAATAACATAGGATTTAGACATTTCAATCTTGTTTCTTTCTCCCTTACTTGTGTTTTTTATCCTTTTATTCAGTTTCGAAACAATTATTTCTTAACCTTTGATAAAAGATGATTAGCTGGTCCAAGAACAATAACTACTACAGACATTTCAGTATTGCAATAGAGTTTCAGAGAATACTTCATCTCATTTTCCTGGTAATTTTATTTATTTCAGTTTTTGGAAAACAATTAAAAGGAAGGCAAATTTTTTTTTTCTTTTCTACGACAAGATTCGAAATGTTCTTAGACCAGCGAGAAATGTTTAAACAAAAATAAAGCAGATATTTTTAACAGTATCCAGTTCTATTAAATTACTCTCCTAACTCTCTAACCAATGATAAAATCAAAGCTGTCTTCTTTCACCTGAAATGTTAGTGATGGGTCCTAATACTTCCTCTGCAGAAAGGTAAGGGCCATAAAATCAATGGTGAAGAATGTTGGCCAAGTATTTTTTCAAGAATGAACGTAGAGCACTGGAAGGATCAGCAGTCAGGCCTCACCTAAAGTTCATTCATGGATTATTCATGCACAAAAAAGAAAACACTGCAATTTGATGGGCAGGGAAGTTATAAGGAGAAAAAAGTGTTTGCTCTTTAAGAGTCAGTGATAAGGTAATTGTGCTGTTATAGACTGAGATGACACCTAATGACTGAAAGTCACTTTTAAGTGACTTTTTAAACATGAAGTTATATGATTTAAAGGTATAATTTATAAGCACTGGATTAAATTGATGTGAAAGTGCTGCAGAGGATATCCTATTGACCCATTTCTTTTGTGATTGCAGGTGTGAATGACACAATGCTCTGTTAGAAAGTGAAGGTTCAGGTTAACCTGGCTTGTGAACTTTATCCTGTTATTGACTAAGTGTGAGCCCTTGTACAAATCATGTTTTAAAAGTGGCTACCCCAGTGCCTAAAATTCAGCTTATATTATTATTTTCCAAAAAAAGAATCATGAGAATGTATGTTTGCTTTTTTTTTTTTTCTCCTGCTGCTATTGTTATTTCAGAAAGGACTGATAGTGAGTTTGGAGCAGGGGATATAAAAGAGGGCTTGAAGCCTCTCATAGTGCCAGAGATAGGAAGTGTTCAGAAAAACGAACAATGGAGGTAAATCCCAAAGGGACACAGATTGCAACAGAAAGAGCTATTTCAGTTGCTGAAACTGGAATAATTAGACCAACAAAACAGAATAGAAAAAAAAATCAGCAGTGTACTATAACCCACCATAAAAAGCAAATATCCACATATCCAATTATTAGTAAATAATTGATCATATTTTAAAACAAGAGGGAAAAGGCAAATATTCCACGCGAAAGGATTTCAGATAATTTATATAGATATTCTCCCTTCCAGGAGATGGGGCACAATTCTTTATTTCTCAAGTATGTAGGATGCTTATAGACTTGTTTCCAAAGAAGATCCTATAGAACAAAGGCAAGGTGACTGTACTGCGAAAAGATTTGACAAACATTAACCTCTAGCCAGATGTTCAAGTTTGACAACATCCAGGATGAATCCTGTTGGGAGTCTGAAGCAATCATAATAGCATTTTATACCTGTGGTACTTCTCCCAATAGCCATCCATTGCATCAGGAGAAAAATAGCAGACAAACCTAAATTGAAGGATAGTCTACAAAATATCTGACCATTGTTCTTAAAACTATCATTAAAAATATGGAATGCCTGTGGAAATATCAGAAAAACCTAAGACGACAAAGACATACATATGGTATACTGAAGGAGCTTACAACAACAACAGAATAAAGGTTACTAGGAGAAAGCTAATAAAATCTGAATAAATTTAGCTAATAATAATGTATCAATATTGTCTTCTTGGTTGTGACACAAACAGCATAGTAATGAAAGAAACTGGGTACAGTGAGTTTAGGAATTGTTTGTACTATTTTTTCAACTTTTCTGTACTTTATCCTAAAATGTAATAATGTATTTAAATTTTTATAATAACTGGCTTCATTGTACATCTTTTATATAATATTATTGGTGCATTATATCATTATATATAATAGTGGATTCATTCATTATAGAATGTTCTGTGCATCCTCTAAATATTCTATGACACTCTGCAATACTTAGTTGGCTTTTCAGATAATTGTGACCTTTACTAAGAAAAGTGTTATCTCAGTGAGGAAGTTTCTATGGGCATATCATATATTTTCATCAAATACATAAAGAAATCATCTAGTTTTTTTTTATTGAAAAGATATACTGAAATAAATATACAGGAAAAATTTAATCACTCTTAAGTCCATCGTTTTGGAACAGTACTTTATTTTCATTTTTGTGTGCAAGTATATTTTCATTTTAGCAATTTATGTTATGGCATAAATCTTTCATATCATCATTTGAATGTTGATTGACAGGAGATTATTGAAATTTAAACTATCTTGAGATTTTTCTCTTGTTGGTACCACCTCAACAATCATTATATGATTACAGAGTTTTCTTTTGTTAAATTACTTTCATAGGAATAAAAATGCTGGATTAATGTTCGTGAGCATCTGAATGTGTGAATTTGGGTTTATTACTTCTCTGCCTCCAAGTTCTCTCATGTGCTACATGAGAATGGTTTTAATAATTCTCTAATAGGACTATAACCGTGATCCAATCACCTTCTGAACATAGCTCTTGTTGCTCTAAGGCTTATTTTTTTAAAAAAACTTGTTCTCTCTCTCTCTCTCTCTCTCTCTCTCTCTCTCTTTTCCCCTCTCCTCTCCCTATCAAGATTAGGGAGACAGTATTATCTTTTCTTCCCTTAGTTAATTGCCCTTGAATACACCCACTACAGGAAGGAGATGCCTGCTGAGGATCTGGGAAGTGAGTATCTCCCAAATTCTAACATGCACATCTGTACTGTAACCCTTGAAGAGTTCCTTTAAAACCCCTGTTTTTCCTGATGAGGGTAGTCACGTTCTTTAGGACAGGAGTTCCCTGTGTTTTCCTTTGCCAGCAAAGCAATAAACCTTCTTTTTCTTTTTCTCAAAACCATGTCCTTCGGCTGGGGATGTGACTCAAGCGGTAGTGCGCTCGCCTGGCATGCACGGGGCGCTGGGTTTGATACTCAGCATCTCATAAAAATAAAATAAAGATGTTGTGTCCACTGAAAAACTGAAAAATAAATATTTTTTAAAAATTCTCTCTATCTCATTTTAAAAAACAAAACAAGACAAAACAAAACAAAACCCATGTCTTCATTTTTAAGTTGGTATTTACTGGCATTGGGGACAAGTACCGAGCCCTAGGTTACATGACTATAATGAGAACTGAGATATGATACAAAAGTCCTTAAAACAATATTTGATATGTAGTGAATAACGATGGCTTTTGTAACCACAAGGATATCAGTAAAGACCAATTTGAAATCAATTTGAAATTCCATCTTTTGTTCCTCACTTTAATTCTCATCCTCATCCTGAGATGTAGCCACTGTCATAAATTTTGTTGTAAATCTTCCTAAAGCAAGTACTGATTTGTGTACTATATATTTATATCATTGGTAAACATGATATAGTATAGCAGTTAATACACAGTATTATCTATATTTACTAACCACATTTCCCCACATATAATTTGATTGTATATTGCCCATTAATTTACTTCTATAAATTTAATGTCTATTTATTGAATTTTAATGTTTTTATAGACCATCAACATTAGCTACTTTCCATGTATAAAAGAAATATTTTTCCTAAACAGTTATTGTTTATTGGTTTTTATTTAAAGAGTTATTTTAATAACATGAATTAAAATCCATACATCTTTCTTTTTTGAGATTTGTTTTGTTTCAAGTATTTTTATTTCTCTACAGTTTGGGAATATTTCATCCTGTATTTCTATTAGTTTTCATCATTTGTTATTGGAAAGTTAATGCTTTAATCCTTCCAGAGAATTATAAGGATTTTGGTATAAAATGATCAATCGCATCCCATAATATATTTAACGTATTTCTATTTAGTTATTAATTTTGTTAGTTTATATTCATACAGTGACCCCAAATCTCAATGGTCCTTTCCAGTTTCCCAGAAACTAGTTTACATTTTTATTCATATTTTATTTAATGGTAGGAAATGAAAAGTTTCTAGATGATAATAATTCTGGAATGAACGTTAAT